GGTCTCAGCACCTGCCACACCGTACCAGAACCCCTCTCTTGTCATCATGTTTTTTCCTTGCTGTCCATCTGAGAAGCACAGAAAGAACAGGGATTTGTGATGCTTCCCAAAAGCTATGCAGATCTTTGCATTTTATTACAAAAGAGAAAAGGGGAAAAAAGCTAGGCAAGGAAAAGAGTTTCTCTTTCACTAATAATCATACTGAATAAACCAGAAGGTACAATTTGCTTCTTCCAGAACTTTCCCCGAGGAAGTACATGGGGAATTATAGTCCAATAATAATTGGAATATCACAGGCTATGCAACTCTGCACTATGAAATTTTTATCTCTATTAACAATTCAGCAGCTCTAACGACTCGTCTTTTCTTCTCTGTGTAATAAAAAATTACAATGCATGCTATGGCACACAATGTAAAGGTGACACTATTGATGTAGAACCAGCAGTTCCCAGACCAGAAAGAACATATTAAGTTGCCTCCCAAGGCCATTAAGATACCAATTAATTAAAAGAGTAGATGCAAAAGCTTAAACTCTGGAGCATAGTTACACTACAGATAACGATTCTGACTTCTTTGCACTGCAGTGGGCAATCAACAACTGTATTTAAGACTTTCTTTCTGTTTCCAATAAAAACTAACTTGCTAAGCTCTTGCTAATACTTCTGCCAAGTGCAGCCAAGAACAAACATAAGGAAACTTGTGATTAACTGCCAGGACCAGATCTGATATTTAAGACGTGTGTGTGCCCTCTAAAAATAGATCTATCAGACAGGTAGTCTTACCTTATGAATGCAATTGGGACAGTAATTTCCATCAATAACCACATAGCATAGCAATGCATTCCCAGCAACCCCCACTGTTAAGCAAATCCTTTGGTCTTTCATTGAAGACCATCCTAATCCAAACCATTCTGGGTTTGGTACCTTCCCAATCCTGAACCTTAGTAAGGTAAGTGACTATGTCCAACTTTCCCCACCTACCCTCTTTGTTCTTTTGTTCATTCAGCACCCCATCTTGCATGGTGACAAGCAGCCCCCAAACTGTGTGGCTACTTACCACATTGTGGTTCAGTGGCGTGTTAATGTTCCAACCTAGGCTTTCCAAGAGCATGAAACTCTTGCCAAATAAAAACCCATTTTAGTCATTTACTGTGAATTCTGCTCATTCAAATCCAACAAAGTCTTTCAAGGGAGGATTTACAGCCACAGATTTTATCTGGCTTGGAGAGCTGACAGGCTGATACCTGCAAAACCTGGCAAGGAGTCTCGGAGAGTCATGAGACAATTAAGTGAACTAATTGTCTCCTGCAAACTCCACTCCATTTTCATTCCTCTTTTGTTTCCTCTGGGAGAAGCCATTCATCATTGACCTGTGGACTTACTCCCAAGTCAACCCTGTTCTTTAGCTGTTCCCTTCATCTAGCAACTCTGCGCATGCACACACTGGGAACAGGCTCCAGCTGTTTGTCTGTCTCACTGATGTCCGACTCTGAAGGCAGTCGGATGGCCCTGACCCCCTCTCTGCCTCTGACATAGAGCCCTCATCAGAGCCTTCCCCAGACTCCAGGACTGGCCCATGTTCCTCCCCAACCTCCTCACTGTCCAAATCTTCTGCCAGCTCTGCTGGCTGTTGGCGGGCCACAACAGTTAACGCACCATGGTTCTGAGGCAGGAAGTTCGGAGCTGCTGCGCAGCATAAACCGAAAGCCTCAGCTTCCTAGCCCAGTTAAGCTGCACCGGGTTGGGGGACGGGACCCACAGCTATCCTGAAAGGCCTCTGCTACCCTAGGAAGCCTAGTAGTGTGTTATGAAGCTACAGCCTGGCAAGCCAGTGGAAAGCCATAGCTATTCCAGGAAGCCCCAGCTGCTCCTGTCTTTGCTGCCTTGCACTCTTAGTCCCCTGCTACCCTGCACTCCACCACCCCAGATGACCTTCACCGTCTTCTTGTTCCCACTGATGATGAGGTGGTAAAATCACCGTAAGGACTTTCTAACAATGGAATTTGGCCTAGAGGAATTTGCTACAGTAGCAAAAAGCAGACCAACAATAGCTGAAGTACCAAATAGCCAAACCATCAGGAGCTATGAAGATAATGCTTATAAGTATTTGGGCATTTTACAGTTGGAAAACATCAATCCTGGATAAGTTAAAAATGTGATTAATAAAGTAACATGACAGATTTCCTAAAGACAAAATGGAATGGTGGAAATACTACCAAAGCCATCAGTACCTGAACCATGCCTGATACACGACACACTGCTGCAATTATTAACTGGACAGTTTAGACTGAAAAACAAGAAAACTGATGACTATTCACTCCGCATTACATCCCCCTAGTCATATAAATAGTCTATACCTATACTGCAGAAATGGAGGCAGAGGTTGACTTCAGGTCAAATAGTCAAAGAAGAAAAGCATGACTTGGCTAATTATATAAAAGGCAGCCAAGAAGAAGCTTTACACAACTAAAAATTGGAACTTGCTAAATGCATAGGAAACAAAAAATAAATAAATAAAATACTGTAATAATAACACAAATAGAATGCTGGCAAAAAAAGGCATTACAAGGTCAGTTTCCACAAAAGATCAAGGAAAAAGTAGAAAAAAGCTAAAATCTGTCAATGGCATTCAACTGGAACATTAAAAAAAAAAACTCTGAAGGTTTGATCTTGTACAACAGCAAGCTATTCAAACCAATGCATTCAAGGCCAGAATTGAAAAATCATCAATGATTCAAAGTGCAGATTGACCAAAGAAGCAAAAGAAAAAAATNTCTCTGTTTCAAAGCTGAAGACTCAGTGCTGTCTGAAGATGTCTCCGTGGTCATGTGACCGGTATGACTAAATGCCAAAGGTGCACGGAACGTTTTTGCCTTCTCACCAAAGGTGGTCCCTATTTTTCTACTTGCATTTTTACATGCTTTTGAACTGCTAGGTTGGCAGAAGCTGGGACAAGTAATGGAAGCTCACTCCGTTATGTTGGCACTAGGGATTCGAACCGCTGAACTGCCGACCTTTCTGATTGACAAGCTCAGCATTTTAGCCACTGAGCCACCGTATCCTATATTAGGTTAAAATATAACCTATATTAGGTTATATTTTAACCTATATTATAGGGTTACATTAAACAGAATCTTGCAAGTGAAGTATTTCTCCCCTTCTCTTTTTCCATTCTCCAGAAAACTAGGCTGTGTCTTTTCTGAAATGCTTCCTATACTTTACCCCCACATACAGAATTGTTACCTAGGCTACAGATATTCCTCTTGTCTCCCATTCCCATATACGATCATAACTCCAGTTCTTGGATTTTCTTTTTATTTCATCAGATGGTGGGCTTTTCTGAACAAGAGAATAATCTTGGAAGATCCATCATCCTCTCTTGTTTTCCATGCACCTGTACTTATCTTCATGCTTTCCTCCACAGCAACCTCTAATAGCTATCACTCCATTCTCATCTGAGGACAACCATTTTGCTGGTCCTGTTTTGGAGGCTGCAAGCTATGTGGGAGCAGCTTTTCAAAACAGTGTGAGTCAGAAGTTACAGAGAAAACCCAAGGAAATGATGGTGTCCATGGAAGTTCAAACTGGTCCAGGCGGGGTGGGTGGGAAGCATATGCCATGTATAACTGATTATCTAACAAACAATCATTTTATATTTCAAGTCTTGCTGATTTCTCAGTTCTCTGAAGCTCCTTCATAGCAATAGCAGTGGCACTTAGACTTATATACTGCTTCACAGTGTTTTTACAGGGCTCTCCAAGAAGTTTAGAGAGTCAACATATTTTCCCCAACAATCTGGGTCCCCAACCTTAGATGAAAGGCTGAGTCAGCCTGGTGAGATTTAATCTGCCAAATTGCAGGCAGCTGTCAGTCAGCAGAAGTAGCCTACAGTACTGTAGTCTAACCACTGGGCCACCGTGGCTCTTCAGATTTCTTTCATTCTGGAAGGGTGGAATGGCAACATTCTGGATCACGGGGTCACATAAGAATAAGGCATTAAGTCCAATATATAGATATAAGTTTCTTTTCCAATTTTTGTGAGTAGGATTGTCTAGTTGCTCATATCTCATACATGATAGTCTAAAAATCAAGTGACGTTTCTCTCTCCCAGAAGCTGTTAAGACAAACATAGTTGCTGAAGCATGCATTAAGCTGAGGGAGGCAAGAAATTATTAAAAACAGACTCAAACTGGTTCCTTTCCAATTTCCCAGAGTATAAGGAAGAGACAAGGAGAGAAAGAAAGGCAAACCTGCAAGATTCTATTACTATAGGTCAGAGGTGAGGAACTATGGCCTGTTTATGACTTGTGGACTTCAACACCCAGAATTCTTGCGCCAGCTATGCTGAACCAGGAATTCTGGGAGTTGAACTCCACAAGTCAGAAACAAGCCATAATTCCCTACCCTGCTATAAACGATCTGAAAGTTTCAATCTTCCTATGGAAGTTCCCTATGGAGTCTGTTTGCTGATCGAGTCTACCCCGGAGGGCTGACAGCTCTGCAATTGTGGTTCTTAAATCTAAGAGATGCATAGAGGAAATGACTCATCCATATATTCCTTTCTCCTTAGAGCAGCAAAAATGCATAAACTAGGTTAGTATATGAACACAACCATGGAACAAAACAGCAATTTCCAAAAAGAGATTCCTCCATATCAACTTTTAATTGCATACTTACTTATTTAATTGAATTTTATAAAGAACTCAAATAGTTATAATTCTCCCATCTTTTTCAGTTTCTCCAGCACAGAAAATGCCTAAGAAACAAAAAGTCTTATAGAGCAAATATTGCCAAAGGCCCACCCACCTCCAGCCCCAATTCTTCGGACATTTCCGGCCTTCACATGTCTCATTTTCAGCCTCCACATGCCCCATTTTCTGCCTCCACGGGTCCCATTTTTGGCCTGTTTCACGCAGTGGGGGATCGCCACCGCTGCCAATCACCGCCGCCGATAATCATTTGTTCCTATAATTTCTTTTCATAACTCAATTTCTTTTTTAGCTCTCTCCATGGCTTGGCAAAGACTTTACATGAAGGACATATTATGTCGATGGACAAGTTATATTTATTACTGAAAGATACAGTTCTGGGCCCAGAGCCCACAAATATTGTCTTGTTTCTTCAAGATAGAGTAAGTATGGCTCTGCTTATGTATATTAGAGCTTGTATAAAATGAAACAACATGGCATCTCTTTAATAATCTCTACCACTTCTCTATTTTTCAGCTTAGCGTGGAATACTTCACACAATACAACAACTTCTCCGGAAATGAGTCACTATTTCACAATGTTCAGGCAAGCATAACTATTCCATCTGGCATTTCCCTGCCGTTTTAAGAAATAAAACCAAATAGGCATGCTTAAAAGAAATGGCAGAAGGATCTTTTTAATTCCAGAAACAGGTTGAAAGCTCTTTCAAACTTGATACGGATAAATTTCTGTAATTTCCTTTATAGGGTATGGAAGAACATTTTCAGTTCTTCAGAATTTACAGTTCATTCTGCCTGTTGGTCCCAGGAATGGAAATTAGGGGGTCAACCCATTCACAGTTGCGTGGTGATTTTCTCAAAGTCCAATTATGGATACAAATTAAAATACAACCCTACAATGCTTTCAGAAGTTGTTTTCTGAGCATGGTTCTTTCAAATGTAAGAAGTTATTTTTCCTGGTAAATTGATTTATTCCTCCAAGTTCTTTTTATACATATATATTAAAATCTCAGAAAACATTTCCCATTTTGATTCTTTAAAAAGAAAGTATCAGTATCCATTGGCATTAGTCATATTTAGTGGTAGCTTATTTTAATGGATAATTGGGAAAGGAGATATGCATTATTATTAATGTCCATTAAGATGGAGATTATCTGCCCACAATGATTGGTGTCACTTACATAATTACATGTGTGTGCCAATGAGGTAAGTAGAATTATTTACATAATCCTTTCATTGTACAAATGAAGTTCATCAAAACAGAAAAAGGATCAATTCAATGCTAATTCCATTCTACTGAAATCCTGTAAACTGAGATTTCACAGTTCTTATGTCAGGACTCAGGAGTGTGGGACAGTCTACATAATGGAAAGAAAAGAATGCATTTCTTTTTGCAATAAGTAAACACTGGTTTTAAAAACATCACTATTGTTGTCAGACATTAGATTTTTGTAGGAACATTAGTAGCTGAGGATCAGTAGCTGTTTATGCAGCTATTCTTGCACTGACTTTGATTTCTTTTCCCCAAAAATTGGATATTAATATTGAATAGCATCTGTCTGTTATTGTGCTGCATTAATCAGTCAACAATACTCTGCCCCTTTTAATATTATTTTTAAAATAAGGAGATATAGTACAGTATCAAAGCAATATATTAAATTACAATCACTGTATGCTAAATACTTCAGAATTGTAGATAGATTCAGGACCGTGGTAAATCCCAGGATTGACCCTACCATTTGGCAGTTGTGTTATACAGCTGATCCTGAGAAGTGACAGCTGGATATTGGAGAAAATATTTTTCTTGTTATAAAGTAGGTGAAAGTCCTCTCCCAATGACAATATTGAAGAAAGATTCATATATGTTTTCCTACTCACTTTATGAAAAGAGAGGACAAAGTCTCTATGGACGCATTTGTTTGCTATTTTTACCTGGAAGCAATAATTATGATAAGGAGTAGATATTGCTAGTTTTTCTCTCGTCCATATTCAGTTGCATGGTGACCGCTGCTCTTGCCAACACACCATTTGGTGGTTTATAGATGGCAAACAAGTGGATTAAATAAGTTATTAAAAATAAGTGACAAGTGGTAAGCCATTGAAGCATGTACAGTATCTGTCTGTGTAGGTCATTTCTTGCATTTTGCCACACCCAAAGATGTAATGTCTTGACTCTGTACCTTATATATAGTAATTGATTCTGTTCAAAAGAAAATATATATTTGGGTAATATTTTTAATCCATTCAGTCACATAATTTTTCTTGAAGTTGAATAAAGAAATTTGTACAAAACATGTTACAGTTTAAGAATCAGACAGTAAATAGATGAAGTGAAAAAAATATATAAATCAAATATTTGAGAACAGTAACTATATTAATTATCAACTGGTTTATCATGAGGATGCTCCCAACAGCTATTGCCTAAGAGGGAACAGATGGTTTTTAGATTTACTTTTAGCAAATGATGTTAATGACTGTGTGTTCTAGAAAATATATCTCAAATGATTTAATTGGCTTCCTTTTGGGTAGAAAAAAAGAGTCACTAATATAGCCCAGAGTGTATAAGTTGGCCCAAGAATTGATAAATGTTCTTATTAGCATCTAAACATTTGCTTGCTAAATTTGATGAAACCGGTATGATCATTATCATAGGCTTAAGATGCAGAAGGATCTTGACAGACTTGAACATTGGGCGCTATCTAACAAAAAGAAATTCTATGGTGAAAAATGTAAGGTTCTACATTTAGGCAAGAAAAATGAAACGCACAGGTATAGTACACTTAAATATGAGCCAGCAGTGTGCAGCAGCTGCCAAAATTCCAACACGGTTCTAGGCTGCATAAACAGAGGGATAGAATCAAGATCACGTGAAGNACAAAAGATCAAGGAAAAAGTAGAAAAAAGCTAAAATCTGTCAATGGCATTCAACTGGAACATTAAAAAAAAAAACTCTGAAGGTTTGATCTTGTACAACAGCAAGCTATTCAAACCAATGCATTCAAGGCCAGAATTGAAAAATCATCAATGATTCAAAGTGCAGATTGACCAAAGAAGCAAAAGAAAAAAATGGATCATATATTCAGCACATGCAAGATTGCACAAACTGATCATAAGCAATGACATAACACTGTCACCAAAATGATTCACTGGAACATTTCTAAAAATTATCATGTGCCAGTAATGAAAACATTGGTAGGAACAAATAATTGAAAAAATAGTTGAGAATGAATAGGTTAAAATATTGTGGGATTTCTGAATACAGACTGATAAAGCCTTGACTCATAACATGTTAAATTTAACTGTGGTTAAAAAAAAGAAAATCGTAATTGATGTAATGATATTAGGGAATAATACAGGGGTCGGCAACCTTAAACACTCAGAGTCACAAAGGTCCTAAACGGAAGCCCCCTGTTCAATTCTGGAGTCAACAGGAAGTCTGGTTCCCCCATCATACAGTCTCCTCCTAGCATGGCATCCTTTTCCTCTACATGTCCTAACCCAAAGCCCTATCAATTGTGGAGTCGACTGGTGACAGGGCTGAAAGCACCACATGGGTTGCTGACCCCTGGAGTAGTAGAATAGAAGACAAAAAAGTGCAGAAGATCACAAAGTAGTAATATCTGAAAATCAAAGTGAAAGATTATGGCATAAGCTGGTGATTTTTTTTATACCAAAGAATCCTGGAGAGCACTTAGAAAACTGTGTATTGACAAAATTTTCATCTATCAATTACGTAAGACCACATTGCTTGGATCTGACATATACTAAACTGAAACATGGTGTGTATGAAGGCCAATACTACTTAAAAGAACCAGCAGTTGTGATTTCACATTGTTGTACAATAATATTATATCATTATACAACAATAATAAAATATAGCCTCTACATGATATGGGAACAATTTTAAGAAGGAAAAAAAACATGGTTAGAATATTCAGTGCGGCTCATTTGCCAGTTTATAGTGACGTTTACTTTTGGGTTAAGACTGAAAGTGAAAAAATAAATTATTTTCAAAAACAATTTACTCTCCCCTTCCACTTAATAAATGTCTGATGCATATGAGATATTTAAAGAGAAAGCAAGGCTGCCTTTTTTGGCATGTTGAAGCAATCCAATGAACACAAACTAATTGAGCAATTGCTTCATTTACAGAATGTTGGGGGATGAAAAAAAGAGCAAAATCATAAGATAGTATTTCATATCAACCTTACGTTGCCACCCCCCCCCATTCCATGCTATAGTAGTGAATTGAGCTGTCTCACAAAAAAAGGTACTTCAGTAATGTTTTGACATTTTATCAAGGTGGTCATTTAGAATTCAACTTTAGCATTCAAATAGACAAGCACCTGCTACATAACACCCATTGTTACCCTCTCCTTTCTCTTCTATTCTGCTGTCTCCAGGTACTGCCATGTCCACTATCCAGACTTTTTTGTGTTTCTTATCAAAAACTATTAAGAGAGACTTAACAATTTTCGATAAAAAAGACAAAAATATCTGGATATTGGACATGGTGGTATCTGGAGACAGCAGAATAGAAGAGAAAGGAGAGGGTAACAAAATACAAATATCTGCAAATGGAATGTTTGAACATCTGGCTGATTGTGTGACTAACCATAATAATAGTATAGCAATAGATAATCTCATTGATCCTTGGCAGACTTTGGTCTAAATACCATAATAGAATGAAATGCCTTTTCTTACTTCTTTGAAAGCAAACTTAGGTTTTGCACATGGGAACTCTAAAAAGAGAAAAGGCAAAGCAGGAAGTGAAAGCGGATGCATGCACCTGTTGCTCTTGGAAACAAGTTTTAAATCAAGTTCTGAACCTATCAAAAAAGTAGAACAAAAAAATAAAAAGGAATATATTTTAAAATATGATCTGCTTCCCAAATGTTTGGTATCACTGTAATCTTTAAGTGTAATGTTGTTATTTTCTTTTCCGGGTGCCTAATTAATTCTGATTCATGTTTCACATATTATTTTAAAGTAATAGCAGAATATTTTAAACATTCCTTAAGCATTCTGTAGCAAGGAGTGTTTATTTCACAAAAATGTCAGCTTTTTCACACAACATTTTAAAAGTTATTTTAGATGGTTACTTATTTTACTGCAGAGTCATTTTAGATTGTTATGCATTTATTTAGTACCCTCTTCTGTTATCTGCCATTTATTTCTTTAAACAAAACCAAAATAAGTTAATATAAACTTGTTCTCATTATGCAATTTTAGAATGTGAACATTTCTAATTATCTAGTATTAGTCTGCCAAATAAATAATCAATTACATGCATACTAAAATGCTGTAATTATAGGTAGTGCAATTAAACAGCAATCTTCAACTTAATTTCCCCAAAGTAAGTTGTCACAGAAGGACTGGATAATCATAGACCACACATGGGTTGTCTGAGGCTTATAAATTTAGTGGGCCTTATCTCAGATAACAAAGTTGCCTCACAATCAGGAGGCTGTGAGTTTGATCCTAGATAGCGGCAGATATTTGTCTCTTTGCATGCAATGGGTAATTGTCTGTTGCAAACTCTGCATAGGAAGGGCATCCAGCCAGTAAACACTTGAGCTCCATTCAGTTGCCTCAACTCTACCCCAATGCAAAGGTTTGCAAGGTCATTCAAAGAAACGAAAAATCCAAATAACAAAGGAGCTGAACTTCATTTATTCCATTTGAACAGAACTGCAGAAATGATTTCTTTGCTTATATCTTCCACCTCATCCTTATATTGCTTTTTACTTCATAAGTTGGAGAGCAAGTGGTATTTCAAATCATTACTACTCCATTTCCTAAGTACATCTGACAGCTTAAACACTCAAAGGGCAACCTGCAATATAACCAAGGGTGAATACCATATTTCTGATTTTGAGCAAACTATTGAACTCATTCCTCCTTCTGCTGTTGCTCGATTGATGTTGGATATTCATTTCAGCTCTGTAGTTTAGCCTGGCAGGTTTTGTAACCTATTAAAACCCAAATGCAGTAAGCACCACATTAGTAAGCCCAGCTGTAAAAGTTGACTGACCAAGGAGTCCAAGGGTTCTTTAGAAATAACATGTTAATAATTACTTGGGAAACGAATTGGGATTTCACCAGCTTGGCACGCAGAAGGGAATGGATCAACATAGACATGAAGTTAAGTGGAAGGATGCAATTAATATTCTTTTAAAAAAAAATATAGACGAGCTGGATGTCCCTAGACATATGGAGAGGGAGATATGAGTCCTTCCACATCTGCCAAATAGTTCAACAAACATTTAAATCCATTCCCAAGCAGCTGTCTGCATTTGAAGGGATGACTCCATTGAAACTAAGTTGAAATTTAGCCTGTACTATATAATTAAATAATTCCTCATGTATACTATCAATACTTCAGGTTGCTTCAGTCCCAGATCTCTTGAAAAGTTCATTTTTCAAGAATCATTTGAGCTTTGAGAGTCATTTGAACTTTGATTGAATGAAGCAAGGAATGACATATTTCAAGAGAGACCGGGTGCCAGGAGCCCATTTCATAGATGGACATCTTCCTGAAGTACGAGATGTCTTATCTATGCAGGGTTTGTAAGGCAAGGATGTCAAACTCAAGGCCCTGGGGCCAGATCCGGCCAAGGGGTACTTAGATCCGGCTCATGGGGTTGCCCTGGAAAAAGCGAAGGACTGGCCTGTGGTGCTTCTGTCAATGAAAACAGACTCCTGAGCTCTGTTTTTGGCTGCCACGGCCTCCTGCAACTCTCTGCCATTTCCAATGACAGAGGATTGCAGGAGATCGTTGCAGCCGAAAATGGAGCTCGGGAGCCTGTTTTCACTAGCAGTGTTCAGGCTACCACAGGCGCCCCTGACAAGAGTGATGTCAAGCTGGCCATGTCCACCCTGGCCATGCCCGCCCTAACTCCTTGAGATCAAACACCACCCTTATGCAGCCCTCAATGGAATTGAGCTTGACACTCCTGTTCTAAGGAGTGCAATCTAGACACCTTCCTTACCCCAGCATCAAGAGACCTTCTTAATTGTGATCTGACAAGAAAGGGATTTTTTTAAAATCAGAAAACACAGCACAATCTCCTATGCAAACATTCTGATTTGCACAGAAGTGCCAAAGGAAGATCAAAACCTTCATGGTTCCAGCTGAGCCAATGTAGGACTGTCCCCTCCCATTCAGCCATGGGGTTTTTGAACCTCTGGGACCATTTCTGCTTTGGCTGCCAGAGAGATCAGAAGCTCCTTGGCAACTAAAGTTTGCTTTGTTTCTTTTAGGCTTAGGTAGGAATAGCAATCTTCAAGAAAATATTCCAAAAGTTTGTTGTTCCTATAACAGTAGCCTCCTGTTCAAGGTAATCCAACAAGAAGCACAAGCAGGAGCATCGGAACTATCTATATTATGGGTAAAGGTTTCCCTAACACATACGTGTTAGTCATTCCCAACTCTAGGGGGTGGTGCTCATCTCTGTTTCAAAGCTGAAGACTCAGTGCTGTCTGAAGATGTCTCCGTGGTCATGTGACCGGTATGACTAAATGCCAAAGGTGCACGGAACGTTTTTGCCTTCTCACCAAAGGTGGTCCCTATTTTTCTACTTGCATTTTTACATGCTTTTGAACTGCTAGGTTGGCAGAAGCTGGGACAAGTAATGGAAGCTCACTCCGTTATGTTGGCACTAGGGATTCGAACCGCTGAACTGCCGACCTTTCTGATTGACAAGCTCAGCATTTTAGCCACTGAGCCACCGTATCCTATATTAGGTTAAAATATAACCTATATTAGGTTATATTTTAACCTATATTATAGGGTTACATTAAACAGAATCTTGCAAGTGAAGTATTTCTCCCCTTCTCTTTTTCCATTCTCCAGAAAACTAGGCTGTGTCTTTTCTGAAATGCTTCCTATACTTTACCCCCACATACAGAATTGTTACCTAGGCTACAGATATTCCTCTTGTCTCCCATTCCCATATACGATCATAACTCCAGTTCTTGGATTTTCTTTTTATTTCATCAGATGGTGGGCTTTTCTGAACAAGAGAATAATCTTGGAAGATCCATCATCCTCTCTTGTTTTCCATGCACCTGTACTTATCTTCATGCTTTCCTCCACAGCAACCTCTAATAGCTATCACTCCATTCTCATCTGAGGACAACCATTTTGCTGGTCCTGTTTTGGAGGCTGCAAGCTATGTGGGAGCAGCTTTTCAAAACAGTGTGAGTCAGAAGTTACAGAGAAAACCCAAGGAAATGATGGTGTCCATGGAAGTTCAAACTGGTCCAGGCGGGGTGGGTGGGAAGCATATGCCATGTAGAACTGATTATCTAACAAACAATCATTTTATATTTCAAGTCTTGCTGATTTCTCAGTTCTCTGAAGCTCCTTCATAGCAATAGCAGTGGCACTTAGACTTATATACTGCTTCACAGTGTTTTTACAGGGCTCTCCAAGAAGTTTAGAGAGTCAACATATTTTCCCCAACAATCTGGGTCCCCAACCTTAGATGAAAGGCTGAGTCAGCCTGGTGAGATTTAATCTGCCAAATTGCAGGCAGCTGTCAGTCAGCAGAAGTAGCCTACAGTACTGTAGTCTAACCACTGGGCCACCGTGGCTCTTCAGATTTCTTTCATTCTGGAAGGGTGGAATGGCAACATTCTGGATCACGGGGTCACATAAGAATAAGGCATTAAGTCCAATATATAGATATAAGTTTCTTTTCCAATTTTTGTGAGTAGGATTGTCTAGTTGCTCATATCTCATACATGATAGTCTAAAAATCAAGTGACGTTTCTCTCTCCCAGAAGCTGTTAAGACAAACATAGTTGCTGAAGCATGCATTAAGCTGAGGGAGGCAAGAAATTATTAAAAACAGACTCAAACTGGTTCCTTTCCAATTTCCCAGAGTATAAGGAAGAGACAAGGAGAGAAAGAAAGGCAAACCTGCAAGATTCTATTACTATAGGTCAGAGGTGAGGAACTATGGCCTGTTTATGACTTGTGGACTTCAACACCCAGAATTCTTGCGCCAGCTATGCTGAACCAGGAATTCTGGGAGTTGAACTCCACAAGTCAGAAACAAGCCATAATTCCCTACCCTGCTATAAACGATCTGAAAGTTTCAATCTTCCTATGGAAGTTCCCTATGGAGTCTGTTTGCTGATCGAGTCTACCCCGGAGGGCTGACAGCTCTGCAATTGTGGTTCTTAAATCTAAGAGATGCATAGAGGAAATGACTCATCCATATATTCCTTTCTCCTTAGAGCAGCAAAAATGCATAAACTAGGTTAGTATATGAACACAACCATGGAACAAAACAGCAATTTCCAAAAAGAGATTCCTCCATATCAACTTTTAATTGCATACTTACTTATTTAATTGAATTTTATAAAGAACTCAAATAGTTATAATTCTCCCATCTTTTTCAGTTTCTCCAGCACAGAAAATGCCTAAGAAACAAAAAGTCTTATAGAGCAAATATTGCCAAAGGCCCACCCACCTCCAGCCCCAATTCTTCGGACATTTCCGGCCTTCACATGTCTCATTTTCAGCCTCCACATGCCCCATTTTCTGCCTCCACGGGTCCCATTTTTGGCCTGTTTCACGCAGTGGGGGATCGCCACCGCTGCCAATCACCGCCGCCGATAATCATTTGTTCCTATAATTTCTTTTCATAACTCAATTTCTTTTTTAGCTCTCTCCATGGCTTGGCAAAGACTTTACATGAAGGACATATTATGTCGATGGACAAGTTATATTTATTACTGAAAGATACAGTTCTGGGCCCAGAGCCCACAAATATTGTCTTGTTTCTTCAAGATAGAGTAAGTATGGCTCTGCTTATGTATATTAGAGCTTGTATAAAATGAAACAACATGGCATCTCACTAATAATTTCTACCACTTCTCTATTTTTCAGCTTAGCGTGGAATACTTCACACAATACAACAACTTCTCCGGAAATGAGTCACTATTTCACAATGTTCAGGCAAGCATAACTATTCCATCTGGCATTTCCCTGCCGTTTTAAGAAATAAAACCAAATAGGCATGCTTAAAAGAAATGGCAGAAGGATCTTTTTAATTCCAGAAACAGGTTGAAAGCTCTTTCAAACTTGATACGGATAAATTTCTGTAATTTCCTTTATAGGGTATGGAAGAACATTTTCAGTTCTTCAGAATTTACAGTTCATTCTGCCTGTTGGTCCCAGGAATGGAAATTAGGGGGTCAACCCATTCACAGTTGCGTGGTGATTTTCTCAAAGTCCAATTATGGATACAAATTAAAATACAACCCTACAATGCTTTCAGAAGTTGTTTTCTGAGCATGGTTCTTTCAAATGTAAGAAGTTATTTTTCCTGGTAAATTGATTTATTCCTCCAAGTTCTTTTTATACATATATATTAAAATCTCAGAAAACATTTCCCATTTTGATTCTTTAAAAAGAAAGTATCAGTATCCATTGACATTAGTCATATTTAGTGGTAGCTTATTTTAATGGATAATTGGGAAAGGAGATATGCATTATTATTAATGTCCATTAAGATGGAGATTATCTGCCCACAATGATTGGTGTCACTTACATAATTACATGTGTGTGCCAATGAGGTAAGTAGAATTATTTACATAATCCTTTCATTGTACAAATGAAGTTCATCAAAACAGAAAAAGGATCAATTCAATGCTAATTCCATTCTACTGAAATCCTGTAAACTGAGATTTCACAGTTCTTATGTCAGGACTCAGGAGTGTGGGACAGTCTACATAATGGAAAGAAAAGAATGCATTTCTTTTTGCAATAAGTAAACACTGGTTTTAAAAACATCACTATTGTTGTCAGACATTAGATTTTTGTAGGAACATTAGTAGCTGAGGATCAGTAGCTGTTTATGCAGCTATTCTTGCACTGACTTTGATTTCTTTTCCCCAAAAATTGGATATTAATATTGAATAGCATCTGTCTGTTATTGTGCTGCATTAATCAGTCAACAATACTCTGCCCCTTTTAATATTATTTTTAAAATAAGGAGATATAGTACAGTATCAAAGCAATATATTAAATTACAATCACTGTATGCTAAATACTTCAGAATTGTAGATAGATTCAGGACCGTGGTAAATCCCAGGATTGACCCTACCATTTGGCAGTTGTGTTATACAGCTGATCCTGAGAAGTGACAGCTGGATATTGGAGAAAATATTTTTCTTGTTATAAAGTAGGTGAAAGTCCTCTCCCAATGACAATATTGAAGAAAGATTCATATATGTTTTCCTACTCACTTTATGAAAAGAGAGGACAAAGTCTCTATGGACGCATTTGTTTGCTATTTTTACCTGGAAGCAATAATTATGATAAGGAGTAGATATTGCTAGTTTTTCTCTCGTCCATATTCAGTTGCATGGTGACCGCTGCTCTTGCCAACACACCATTTGGTGGTTTATAGATGGCAAACAAGTGGATTAAATAAGTTATTAAAAATAAGTGACAAGTGGTAAGCCATTGAAGCATGTACAGTATCTGTCTGTGTAGGTCATTTCTTGCATTTTGCCACACCCAAAGATGTAATGTCTTGACTCTGTACCTTATATATAGTAATTGATTCTGTTCAAAAGAAAATATATATTTGGGTAATATTTTTAATCCATTCAGTCACATAATTTTTCTTGAAGTTGAATAAAGAAATTTGTACAAAACATGTTACAGTTTAAGAATCAGACAGTAAATAGATGAAGTGAAAAAAATATATAAATCAAATATTTGAGAACAGTAACTATATTAATTATCAACTGGTTTATCATGAGGATGCTCCCAACAGCTATTGCCTAAGAGGGAACAGATGGTTTTTAGATTTACTTTTAGCAAATGATGTTAATGACTGTGTGTTCTAGAAAATATATCTCAAATGATTTAATTGGCTTCCTTTTGGGTAGAAAAAAAGAGTCACTAATATAGCCCAGAGTGTATAAGTTGGCCCAAGAATTGATAAATGTTCTTATTAGCATCTAAACATTTGCTTGCTAAATTTGATGAAACCGGTATGATCATTATCATAGGCTTAAGATGCAGAAGGATCTTGACAGACTTGAACATTGGGCGCTATCTAACAAAAAGAAAGTCAATGGTGAAAAATGTAAGGTTCTACATTTAGACAAGAAAAACGAAACACACAGGTATAGTACACTTAAATATGAGCCAGCAGTGTGCAGCAGCTGCCAAAATTCCAACACGGTTCTAGGCTGCATAAACAGAGGGATAGAATCAAGATCACGTGAAG